CTTATATTTAGGACTAAAGTCAATTCAATAATTAGGTCTTATATTAAGGACCGGAAGAGTAACTCGAAAGTATGATTATGAAATCGTTATAATTAATAAATTAATCAAAATAATACTACTTGTACAAAATGTTTTTGAAAAACAACTAAATTTTTTTCCTGACCCTATCATTTAAAAAATTAAAATATCAATTAAAAATAAATTTAAATTAATTAACCTAAATGTTACTTAAAAATTAACACATGCAGCTAAAGAACTAAAGAAAACATCTCATTCGATGAGTAATTATCGATCGAGAGAACGAAAGATGATTAGATTTTTGGAATTAGTGCGTTTTTAATTTTTGATGTCAATTTCAAAAGCAAAAAGTCCAGTTTATGGACGAAAAATTGATATGCAATAAATTTGTTCTTTTATATAATATGTTGGGATTTTTTCCACTAGTCATATCTTCACCTTAATTTTAATACTAAATTGTTAAATTGCCTTATTTTCAAAAATTAATTATGACGCTTATTATTATTAATTCTAAAAATTGCAATAACTGTAACATGTATTATCATGTCAGTCTGTGCTGGGGAAGGAGGCTTTAAACGGCGTGTCGTCGCATTTCTAAACTGAAAACTGTCACTGGACTGGAGCAAAAGGCTGCCCCCGGAAACCGACAGCGTCGGATGATAACGAGAAAACAAAGGCACAACAGCTGTGGTCTTTGACAAGCTTCATTTGCTATTTTCCTCTGATTCTTTTAGATCCCAATTCATATTCTCCATCTCTCCATCTTAATTGCTTCTCTTCAGCTTGATCTAGGACTATCCAATTGCATGTCTTCCTCGAATTTCATTCCACTTTGCCACCATTTCCTTTTCTGGTTCGTTCTTACAACCCTTCTTTCTCTTCCTATATTTTGTTATTCACTTTTTATCGAAGGATTGTAACACTAAGCGTCTTTGTAGTGATTATTTGAGTAAATGGCGGGTATTTGTCATGTATATTTGGGCTTGTTTGAGTGATTATGATGTTCTCGGAGATTGCAATTTTTGGGTGATTTTGTGTTCTCTTGTTCTGTATTTGTTTCCTATTTTCTTTGGCTGTTGCTTTAATTTTCATGCATGTTATGAATATTGGTCCTGGCGTTGACCCTTTTGATCAGATTTGATCAAATCATTAAGTGGGGCATCAGGTTTCGCCCTGAAGTGGATTATGCTACTTCTATGTTATTTATTCTCTGATCGTTTCACTGAGTGATGTGTGAAAGGTGAAGCACTTTTTTTCTTGCTGTGGGCTTTTACATTGTCTTTTCCAGATGATCTCGATTTTCTGTTTTTAATATTTTCCTGCATCTCGTGTTTGATAATCAACTCTAGCCGGAGAAAATATTATTATTTATGAAAGATCTTAAATAGTTTTCTGATTTGTGTCAAACTCAGTGCAAGCATTCATCTCATGTTACTCTGAAAGATATTTACTGGCAAGAGTTATCGTGGTGCAGGAGCAATTTATTGTCATTGCTGCTTATGCATCATTATATTATGTCGTTGATCTGTTTAAATGACCGCTAGAACTTATAAACTATCATGTTCTCGGTGTTCTGAAATGTCAGTATTTGCTAGGATATTTATTCCACAATGGCATATCTTCCCTTTCATTCTACATTATAGTTGAATCTTGCCTTTTCTATTTATTTTGCCCCATAGTATTTTTAACAAAAATGCATATGATGGTCAATTGATTTCACATTCTTCTGAGTGATTTTGAGGTGTACACCTTTTTGTACAAAATATTTAGATCCTTACGTTATTCAACTTTTATCCCTTTTTTCCTGTTTTACACAGAATCTATGAAGAAATAATAGGTAAGGGAGATGGCGGCAGCAGAAGCAAGGGCTCTGTGGCAGCGAACTGCTAATCGATGCTTTGTTCAAGAAGATGCTAAAAGGGCTCCCAAGTTAGCATGTTGCCAATCTTCATGTGCAACATCAAAATCAGTTGATGCTGGACCTGCCAGTGCAGCTGATGAATCAAATCAGGTTAATGTTAATGCCATGCCTTTTAACAGAAAATCTTCATTTTCCAATGTATCGCCTGACTCAAGGTGGTGGTTGCATTCACAACCTAATTACGGGTATCAAAAGAGCTCAACATATGAAAACTTAAATTCATCATTAATGGATGAACTGGAAACCTTGAAAACTCTTGATAAAGGAGAAGTTACTCAATTTGGTGATGAGAGCCATGATTCATCTCATTATATGCACTGTGACTTCCAGACCAATGATATGAAGAAAGTTCTCAAGAACAAAATGCAAGATGCTTATAGTAAGAATTCTGAAGAATATTCTGAATTATCAGATATGATGAGTAAATATGAGACAGTAGAGATGGATCCTGTTAGCTGCTCGGTGTCCAAGAAAACAAGTGATTCCTGCTTGGGTTCGGACTACTCTTGGATTGAAGGTGACAGGACTGAGCCTTGGTGGCGGACTACAGATAGAGATGAACTAGCTTTCTTTGTTTCTCAGAAATCTCTAAACCATTTTGAGAATTGTGACCTCCCTCCACCTCAGAAGAAGTATCTTAGAAGCCACCCATGTGTTAATGCTAATGATCACAAAACCAAGACAACATCTTTTGACTGGGAAGCCAAATCAAGGGACTTCTCCAATTTGTCTGTTCACGCGCAAGAATGTTTGAATCCTAATCTAATGCATGGCAAACAGGGACCTTCGGCCAAAGAAGAAATTTTGCACTCTGCTTCCAACAAATCTTCTAGGTATTTTCCTTTGAATATTTTAGGATTGATTGTGCTGTTTTGCAATTTGCATAGGTTCAACTTTTCATGGCTTTTTTTCACCCAATCTCATGGATTCCAGAAAATTAATTTAGCCGGATGAGTGAGTGAGACTTGTTTAAATTATGTAATTTTTCGTCTGTTGGATTGTGGATGTGTTCTTGGTTTGGTACATGCTATCCTTAGTGTCTTTTTAAATTCATGTGTCTGAAATTTGTGACAGCACTACTGCAATCCAAGATAATATCATGGAGGAGCAACAAGTTCCTGGGGGAGATCCAAGCAGAGCTGAACTTATGGAAGCACTATGTCACTCTCAAAAACGTGCAAGGGAAGCCGAAGAGGCGGCAAGGCAAGCTTATGCTGAAAAGGAGGACCTTGTTAAGCTTTTTTTCAAACAGGCCTCGCAGATTTTTGCATATAAGCAATGGCTTCAACTGTTGCAGCTGGAAACTCTGTATTTTCAGGTGAATAAAGTAAATAGTAAGGATCAGCTGATCTCCACTCTCTTCCCCATGGCGCTTTCTTCGATGTCAAGGAAACCACGGAAGAGAAAGCAGAACTTTGTTACAGACAGTCAAGAAATGCAAGACCAGGCAAAACCTGATATTACAACATACGCTGTTGCATTTGCCTTAGGATTAAGTCTTGTTGGGGCTGGAATACTTCTAGGATGGACTGTCGGTTGGATGTTACCTCGTTTATAGTTTTCTTTTTCCCCTTTTAAGGCTTGGTACATAGTCCTTCTTGCCACGAACATTGGTGGCAAACGAGGGGTATTGGTTAACAGATTGTGTATTTACTTTTGTAGACTTGTGAGTCCTAATGTAAATTCTGTTGCTGTGTTTTTGTGTAATGAATGGGTCAATGAGATGATGTACATAGATCTTTCTTGAGTGAAGTTCGTGTGGAACAGCTTTTCTTGGTCATTGGTTTTAGATTCCTAAAACAAGCATTTTTTTTTTTTGACCTGATAAAACAAGCAAATTAGATTATCCACTTTAGCTCACTTGTACGGAAAAATAAAAAGTGAGTAACATAAAAGAACAATTTTGTGAATGTATTGATGCATTTATTTTATGATCGAATTTAGTGTTGACAATTAAAAACCTGACTTGGTCCTCAATTAAAAAAAAAAAAAAGAATAAAAACCTGTCGTATGAGGCAGAAGCCATGAGTTAAAACTATACAATTATAAGGATAATTAGGTTCGCTCATTCATTCAGAGAAAAGAAAAGGACAATTAGGTAACCCTGAACTTTTTTGTATCTCATTTCTGTTGAATGGAGTTACACTTTCCAATAAAGGAAGTATATTCAATTATACTTACATCATTTTACCTAGCTTTGCAACTGTGCAATTTTTCTAAAGATATACTACCTCCGGTCCTAATTATAAGAGTCAGTTGACTAATTTAAAGAAATTAATAAAGTAAGTTAAGTTAGTTATTTGTAATAAATAAGTGTTGTCATTTCTAAAATATCCTTACTAATTAAGTGTATTAGCTAGAATTATCATTATTATAAGGACTATCTTGAAAAAAAATACATAAATATAAGAGACAAAATGAATTGAGATCTTATAATTAGAACCAAACTAAAAGTCAAACGGAATCTTATATTAAGGACGGGAGATAGTATCTACAAATATAGCTCTAGGAGGCTAATTAGAAAAATACAAAGGAAAAAACACCCCCAAAAAATCTCAAAAATTAAAAACTGAAAAGCCCTCCCCAAGAAAACAGAACGGAGTGAGTGACAGAGAACTACATCGTCTCACAAGAAGAGAGGCATAGGAGGCCAAAATGGCTGTCATGGAGAGATTGAAGATGTTCGTCGTTCAGGAACCAGTGGTCGCAGCTTCCTGCCTCATCGCTGGCTTTGGTATGTTTCAACCTCTTTGCATATCAGTGAAAACCCTAATCTTCGAATCTTATTCCCCTCTAAAATTCTAACCCTCGCCGTTCTGGAGCTGAGCGATTTATTCTTTTAATTTTTCTCTGTCTCAGATTGTGGTCTCTATTTCTGTTTGATTTGACAAGAATCTGGATTTATCTGATAAATTTCAGCTGTTTTTAACGATTCACCTGGGTTTTAAATAAATAATTTTATAGTTAAACGGTGGAGCTTTTATGTTCAACCTTTCCTGGGCAATGGCTTGTGACATTAGGATTGTTGGATCTTACAGAAAGGATTTATTAAAATTGAATCTTGGTTCAGCATCGAGAAGGATACTTCAAGAGAAATATGATTCATAAAAGGAATCTGGACTATGTAGGTTGAATTGAAATGGTTCTCCCCCGGTTGAAATATCTGCCTCATCCAACGCCTAATCCTCTGCTTATATTTAAAAATGCCTTTTCTTTGAGATGCCCAAGTTCCAAACCTGTGGATGTTTGCCTAACATTTTCATGCTACATCATGCTGGCTCATGAAGCAAGTTGTCTATATTGTGGATTGTGCCGTAACAAAACAATTCGAATTCGAAAATTAAATGAATATGGTGGTTTGTGACAATGGATTATTGGAGTGTCGTTTACCTCTTCATTCTTTCCCTTTTTTTTTCTTAGGAGGAGGGGGTGTAATGAAATGTGCCTTTATCTCTTTGTTCTTTATGGTGTTGTACCGTCAAAGAATCTACACGGAAACATAGATTTGGCATTCCACATTCCAGTGACCTTCATTAGTTACGTTGAATGTTTCTCTTAACTTTTTAATAAAATTTTTCATTAAAAAATGATGCCCAGAGAAGGATTTTTGTCTGTCTGGCATGCATGAGGGGTACTAATTTTATGCAAGCAAGGGTCGACTTGTGACATGTTACTTGGTATCTTAATCAATACACTCTGACAAAAAGAAATGGGAGGTTATGAGCATTGTAGTAACAAGTGCATTTTTTAAAACATTATTGCAAGTGGCTCATAATCTGCATCAGAGAAAGGTTCAGTATTAAAACCAGGCTCAAGCGATCCCAAGGTTAGCTTTGCAATGTTCAGTTCACAGCAGATGGAAATAGTTCTTTGTTCTTTCAGCCTGGGATTCAGTCTAAGTTCATGATTCTCACTGGTCACCCTGTCTGGGTAAAGGCTGAAGTTCAAGTTAGCGGGCTGTTTACCTTTGATTACTTATATTCTTCTCTTGATATTCTTTAAAATTTTCTCCTTTAGCACAAAAAATTAGATGCGATTTGCTATCCGTATTTTTATGAAATTACTCATTCTCTACTGACAGTTTATTAACTTGCTATGCCGTTTAAAATTGTCAGGCCTATTCCTTCCAGCTGTTGTGAGGCCAATGCTGGATTCCTATCAAGCTTCCAAGCAACCCCCCCAACCTGCTTTAAGTGATGTGAGTGATTTAGTTGTTACTAACCTGTAATATCGTTTATTTCGTCAAAACTGTTATGTTGATGCTAATTTCTGTTGCCTGATTACATACTAAATATGTACTTGGTTATTTCACTGAAATACAACATTTGTTGACTCTGTTGTTTGGTGGGAGAATGACTATGCTATTCCCTGCTCAACTTGTAACTAGAGCTATCAATAGGAAGGTTGCAGTCTGGCATTTTAGGGCCACCTCCATGTTCCACTTCCCTCGACTTTATTAGTTCACACAGAGCACTGCCTTGTCACTGATGCCACCGATAGATGGCAACCAACCATGACCATGAGTTAGCATTTGCTTTTTCTTCCCTTTCATCTGACGGTTTTCATCTGATATTGATGCCTTGCATGTTGCAGGTGGTCGCAGGTATGACTGGTAAAAAGCAAGGGTGATCCACTCGCGGGCAGGTTTTCTAACTACTTTCCTGTTCGAACTCATTTTTCATAGAGTGGGATGGAGAGAATAAGACAACTATATTATCCATGAATTGAAAGCATTCCATTGTGAACATATTCCTGTTTTTACAAGCATTTTCAGCGGTTTCCCTGTCACTGGTTTTAGTTTAGGGGATGAATTGAATATCGATCAGCTTATTTGCCTCAATAATATTGCGTCTTATTTAGCCAGCACGGTTTCTGACCCCTTTTTTACCAATTCCATGGCGCCAACGTGAGGGATACTTTTACGTTTAATTCCTTATGGAGTGGATTTTAGGAAGATATAATGGTTTGTTCGGTTTAATTTTTGGAAGCCAAAAACTTGGGTCAGCAACCCAAAAGCTGATTGGAGGCCTATTTTTTCTTGTTTGGAAAGAAGTTAACCCAAACGACTTTGGGTCCCAAAACATTAGTCTAAGTTTGAAGCTACTTTGGTTTGGCCCAAAAAAGAAAGTTTGAAGCTACTTTTTCTTGGTTTTCTTCTCTACTTGCAAAACTGATTTTTTGAAAAAGGAGTATCCAAACACGTATAACGTTATTTTAGTCATCCTTTTACGGAAAGTTAGTCTTTCGAGCACGCCCACTTATAGGATTGGTAGGGATATTCTCATTTTACTAATGGGATGTTTGGAAGGAAAGTAGACTATAATTTTAAAAGTGATTTTACGGTATATGAAATAAATATGTGAAGAAGTTTATTTGATTTGTGAAAGATGTTTTTAGAAAGTATTTTTGGATATAACCAAACACTCCCTGAGGGCCGCTTGATGGGTAGAAAATCCAGCGATGAAAAAGGAAATAATCTTCATGGCCCTCGTGTTGCACGTCTGGTTGCCATACCCGTGATTCCTGTGGCAGTCCATTTTCCTTTAAACATGGAAACGTGGCTCGCGAAACTGCCTTTGTTCCTGAGCGGCAAAGTCATGTGAAAGGACGAAAGCGCCTGTGTTCCTTCTTCCTCCGCCGATCGTGCAAGCTTCATCGGTGACAAGTTCCCTCTCTCTGCTCAGACAATGGGCGTGTTTTGGAGTGGTAGGGTTTATGCGCATCGTGGCTAGTTTCAAGTGGTTGTTGAGTCAGCATTCACGGTTCACCACAGATGTGGAGGTGATGAGAAACAATGGCAAGATATGTATTTAATCTTTTAAGCAAAAATCCCTCAAAAAAAACTTGAAAATTACTAAATCTCAAATTAGGATTATTAGGATTGTTTCATAAACTTTAACAGATTTTAATTACGCTTAATTTACAAATAATAATATACTTTTATCGATTTCTTAATCTAAAACTAAAATTTAGTAATTTCTAAGTTTTCTGTGGCATTTCTCTATCTTATAATCTTAAAAACAATGATTTTTTTTTTAGCAATCATTATTTTGTAATATTAAACTTAATATGTTCTCAGGCCCCACAAAAAAAAAAAAAAAACTTAAATATGTTGTTTCCTCAACAATTATAGTTTTAATGGTCAATTTTTGGTTGATGATGTTCAGGTTAAAGGAGTTAAGAAAAAAAGCATCTTATGAAATTAAAGAATCAAAGATGAAACTTTATCTAAAATTAAACGATTAAAGGTGTATTTTTGCCAATCTGTTTTCTTAAGGATACACTGTAATTATTTTGACAAAAAAAAAAGGATACATTGTAATTAGATTGGTTGGAAAGTTAGGACTTAATCGGGGCGTACATTGCCTTCAAGCTGGATAGCCGAAACCAAACAAGCAGCCATATACATACATACTGACTCATGATGAAAAATATGGTACAGACTAAAGAACTGCACAAACGCTCTGCTCATGAGAAATAAATAAATAAAACTACAAATACAGTGAATTAGACATCCTCGCCTCATTTAGAATTGAGTTGGATGTGACCATGAAAGCTGGTATGCTTCATTAGAGGCTCAGTGCATACTCATCTTTCTTCAGTGCCTTGCTCCTCCGTACCCCCATCTGCTTCAACCCCTCCCATATTCTTCTCTGCAACATTCACAGTCACCCCAGAGTTAAATCTTCCAACATCAAATTAAATAATCTTATTCACCATCACCCAAATCCATTAAACTTTATATATTCAAATAATAGATTTGGTCCGCTTATCCAACCATAACATACTAGAATTTTCAG